GCGCCAACCACTGCGCCGCGCTAACCACTAACCACTGCGCCGCGCTAACCACTAACCACTGCGCCGCGCTAACCGCTAACCACTGCGCCGCGCTAACCGCTAACCACTGCGCCGCGCCAACCACTGCGCCATGCAACGCCCCTACTGCGCTAGCCTATGCTGAAATTTTCAGCTTCTCTTTGGTAAATTTTTTACATTTTTCTACAATTTGGGCTGTCTGACGAACTCACCTAGTTCATCTTATTTCTTTTTCTTGGAAAAATCAGTTTTGTCATGTGATTGCGACTAGTCGATTTATTGGTGCAACCCTTATATAGAAATGTTTCTAGAGGTCATGAAAGGTCAGGGAACATCAGTTCTTTTCTAAACAGTTTGTGCACTGATTTGAAGTCGTGAAAATAAGTGCTGATGATGACTGTCTGTCATGAAATTGAGCTGGAAACAGCTGACTAGATGGCCAGCACATGTTTTGCTCTAGTGCAGTGGTTCTTAACCTGGGTTTGATCGAACCAGGACTCATTGATAACCTAACCCAACCTTAACAGAAACATGAGAAGAGCAGAGTATCAAATACCAGACATATAAAACATAACCTGAAATCATTTATAATTACTCCATGTCTCATTATAATCGGAGGGCAAAGCCTGCAGGTTTAGCTCCTACTTACTTCAGAGGACAGACCACCGGGACGCTCCGTCTCTTCTGGGTTTTCCTGGCTATTTTTCCGGCCAGCGAACCATTCCGCCACCTAGTGGTCGTTTTTCAGACCACTTGGTCTCCTGTGCCGCTCAAAACGCACAATATGTCTATAAATAATTTTAGGATATTATAAGAAAGTGCTGATATATTCCGTTTTCCACCGAACTAACGTATTTGGCACTTCGGCACAAGCAAACGTCAGAGGATAAAAACACTAGACTCAGAGCAAAACTCAGATGTCCCAGCTTTTACTAGCATGTAAACGCACCATCTACACACAAATCTAGGAACTTCCGGAAGCGTGAAATGAGTCTCAAAAATAGTTGTGCACTCGTAACTGGATCTGTGTGTAAATGCAGTTGTGTGTGTGTACCAGGTGATTTGTGTGTACTTTTTCAACATGTATAGGCCTAAGAGAAGATTTGTTTTATTTTTAAGGTTTACAAATCCAGTATTACACACGCACAAATCTTTTTACACACGCACAGATATTTTGAGACCATTTTCACTCCATACTGTTCCAAGTGAATTTCATCAACGTTAAAATTAAATTATTCATGTTCGTAGGTTAGCACTGAACAATTTCAAATGAGATTCACAGATCCAGCATGAACTGATGTTCATTGACCTTTGATGACCTCTAGAAGCATTTTTATTAATATCTTTAGGATGATGGCAGCACAAACTAAAATTTTTGCTGCACCAACGTTTGACACCCATTTTGTCTGATTTGAAGAAGGTGGGGAGCGACTTCACTCAGGTGTCCCCGGGCCTGGGGGCCCCGGATGGGAGGCAGAATATGACGTCAGGGTCCGCTGCTGCTGAGCTCGGTGTGTGCAGGATTATAAATGTGTTGCCCCAGTAGGTTATATAGCAGCTGCCCCAGTCATTGTTGACTCATGGTGGCTAAAAACTTTACCAGACCGACTGATTTTAGTGACTGGGTTTATATTTACCCCTACAATTAAACTTTATGACATACAAAATTACAAGAGGATCGTCGTTATTGTCTCCAAGTGCATTCTGGGTAAAGCTTGTCACCAACATCATCATCAGTCTCTTGGCAACAGACGGCAAACTAGCTAGAACATTTTTACGGACTAGGTTAACAGGAGTGGAGCTCCATGGAGCGGCAAAGTGAGAAGGATGGAAAGAAGAGAGCAAGGAAAAGATAAAACGACGCATCTTTTGTTCGTCGTCTTGGAGATGAAGCGGACTTTTTTGTTGGCAGCGATTCAGTCCCGCCAAAACTGGCAGCCCAGCGAGGGAGCAGGGAGAGTTACAGGTAGCAACTCTACTGTTATTCACAAAGTGAGTTAACTGTAGACTGATTATAAAATGTATCAGCCCAGCCGCCGAGCTCACATCTCCTTTTCTTTGTCGGTTGTACAGCGGTAATGTCAGGGACTGAAGGCTGTTATCATCGTGTGGCAACACAAGATGAAACTCAGGAATCTTATGCAATATCAGTTTTCAGACCCAATTAATAAGCTGCTCAACAACGCCACCTGGGAATTTCACCTTCTGTTTAAGGCACAAAGGTTCAATTATGCAGGAAATTGAGACATCTGAGACAGTTTCAAATTTTACAAAACTATTTATTCAATTCTTTTAAATGTTCTTTTTAAAATCAGTTCTTAAAGAAAGAAAATCAAATAAAAAAACAGAAGAAACTGCAGTAGCTGAGGTTACGGCAGGAGGGACCACTATGGGGAGGCATCCACCAAACACAGCAAACCAAAACCCTTTAAAGAGCCAGACGCAGCGAAACAAACCAAACTCAGGAATCACAGGAATCGCAGAAGAGGAAGAGGAAGACACCGTCACCGCACCAACACCACACCAACACCGTCACCACGCCAACACCGTCACCGCACCAACACCGTCACCGCACCAACACCGTCACCGCACCAACACCGTCACCG